ACAGCAACCTCCAACTCCTGGGCTCAAGCGAGTCTCCTGCCTCAGCCTCCCAAGTAGCTGGGACCACAGGCGCCCGCCACAACACCAGGCTATTTTTTAGTTGCCGAGGATTCGAACGCACCACCTTAGGTATAAGTGGCTGGTGCCTTAGCCACTTGAGCCACAGGCGCCGAGCCATGAATGGCCATTTTGATTCTGGCCTTAATACTAAATTTCGAGTCTCTGAAGGAGGTTAGAAAGTCTGACGGTTTTATAGTTCTTTCCTATTTATGGGATTTGGTGGACTAAGCAACAGGCTTATCACCTTTCTTTGAGTTGGATTTGCTTTCCTGAGGCTTGCCTTCTCTTCCCTCCACAGTAGAGCACACTCAACCAGGCAAAGGCAAATAGCTCTTTGCTGAGTGCCTCCACGTAGGCTCCACCTTTGTTTATTCTGGGACAGATAACTCTAATCCCTTCCTTCCAACTTGCTACCCCTTGGTGAAATTTAAAGTCCCCCAAGGGCGTAGTGTTTGGCATTTGTGTATACAGTGAACTCCAGCAATCCTTTACTCACAGGGCTCAAGCCTAATTTTTCTAGTAGTATTTTTTATTTTATTTCGTATGTGGGTTTTATCTAAAAAGAATAATCTCACTGGGGCAGAATGCCAGATTTTAGACTAATTTCCTTCTGACTTTGGCCCTCTTTTGCCTCTGAACACCTGTGTACTGTTAGTTTCTTGTCTTGAGGGGTATGGAGTGGAGAATGGTAGCATTTAAACCGAATTCATTTTATAGCTGAAGCTTTTGTCAGCCATCTTCTAATGTGACCACATTGCTGCTATGTTTCACTCCCAGTCCTGGGATCTTTGCTTCATGGGCAGTGGATATTCCTGTTACCAGAACAGAAGGACCTCAATGTAGTGTATATCCTCCAAGCTGGGCAGGGATGGACAGATTGAAAGACTGAAAACCACATGTGGGCAGGCATGCCAGAACTTGAAATCAAGAAAACACAAAGCTTAAAGTCTTTTAGGGCCGTGGGTAGTCTGGTCTGCAAAAAGTAGGTCTGTTCAGTCTTTGGTTCTATGTTGTTTGACCTGAAAAGGATAGGCATTGTGCATAGGCTCTGGCTTGAGGGAAAGTCAGGTTGTCTTCCTTCCTTCTTTAGAAAGAGTCATCTTGATTCTACCGGCTTTTGTTTCATTGATAAGAGAACTAATCCTCTGGGAGGAGAAAAAAGGATAGTGAAGTCCTGGTCGCTCCCACCCTTGGGGTCTCTGAAGCTTTTGCTAGGACTCCCACCGTGGGTTCTGCTTTTGACACAGGCTTGTTCATGTGGGCATGCTCCTGTGTGGGCACCATGGTGTGTTTTCTCCTCCTCCCTTTTCAGCCTTGCAAAGAATTCTATTGTAAATGCTGATTTATAGGAGAAACTGCCTGAGCCAGCTTGTTGTCATGGAAACTGAACACCCTGCCCCCATAGCCAGTTATCGTCTCCCGTTTGGCTAACTGCTGGTGAGCTGGATGGGGACTTAAATTTCACGAGCTTCCTCTAAATCTAGTTCCATTTTTCATCTGAAGTGGAGTAAGTCATTTTACTAGTAGTGTTCATAGTTCTTGCCTGATAGCCTGACGTGCTCTTGATGGATTGGCCTTGGGTTTGTGAAGAGAAATGTGAGTTGTCTCTTCTTGGCATCTGCTTTCCTGGAAGAGACAGAACCAGAGAATACTTGTCTTTGTGGTGTTTTGAATAGAAGAGACACAAATAGTTTCTTAGTAATTTCAGCTTATGTTAACTTCTTGTTTTTTTTTCCTGTAGTCTAGTGGTTAGTTTATAGTCCCAGCCCTCTACTCCCTTTCCCAGTTCCTTGAATGTACCGTGTTTATAGAAATTTTTGTGCCAGTCCTGATTGTTTTGGAGGCTGTCTTCCCCCTCACAGGGGCTGGTGGCCCAGATTATTTCTGTAGCTGCCCCCATGCCTGCCTGCCAGGAGGAAAGCAGGGTAATAGAATTCAGGTACAATCTGGGCTGCAGAAGAGAGATCATGTTCACCAGGCACTTGGATAAGCATCTGGAGTGGGTAGTGTGTAGGGCAGATTAAATTCTTGTATGATTGTGACAGTCAGTATACCTGCCACCAGTAAAGGTGTGGGGGTGGCAGAAAGGCCATCATAGGGAGGAGGGTCTTCTACCATCAGAATTTATCCACGTGCGGCCTGTCTCTCATTACGTTGCCAGGGATGCAGCATGGGTTTACTTGGACTCTAGTCTGTACTTCATTGTGGGATGGAGGCCAGGGAGAGGGAAAGGGTTGGGGTAACAAGTTGAAGGGAGGTGGGGTAGACATCCCAAGGTTCCATTCTTTTGCTTTGCCGTCTGGAATCTATCTATTCTAGAAGATAGACTGTAGGCTAGTTATCTTCCTGATCTATTAGAGTAAGGTGATTAGAGATTTAACAACTTGAGTTGAGTTAAACAGCAAATTAATAGGTGTTCCAATACTTCCTCTAAGAAACATTGTTTTTCCACTTTACAAGATGCTTGTAAGAAAGTCATAGAGGATGAAGCATACCTCTGAGCTAGAGCTTGGGCAGAAGGAACACTTCGCTGGCTGCCTTGTCTAACTCCAATGTGTTTAGAAATTTGAACTGAGTACAGAAGAGGGAGTGGGCCTATCACTGGGTTGGACAAGGAATTGAGTTGTTTTTTCGTTTGTTTGTTTCAGAGACAGTCTCACTTTGTCACCCTTGGTAGAGTACTGTGGCATCAGAGCTCACAGCAACCTCCAGCTCTTAGGCTTAGCCGATTCTCTTGCCTCAGCCTCCTGAGTAACTGGGACTATAGGCACCCGCCACAATGCTCAGCTGTTTTTCGTTCCAGTTTGGCTGGAGCTGGGTTTGAACCCATCAACCTTGGTATATGGGGTTGACACCCTACTCACTGAGCTACAGGCGCCACCCAGAAATTGAGTTTTAAAACCTTCTTCCTGTGGAACTTTGTGGGAGTTTGTTAATGGGAAAATGAAGAAATATGTATATTAATAAAATTATGTCTGCTGGTCTTTTAAGTATCTGAGCTAAGACAGATTCTACACTATTAGATTCTGGCTTCTTATGGAGGTCCCCTCATCTTACTGTTGTGATTAGTTCTTTTCACCATGCCTCTGCTTCCTTTTCCCATTCTTTCCTTCAAACACAGGCCGAGGCTGAGGTAGCCTCCTTGAACCGTAGGATCCAGCTGGTTGAAGAGGAGCTGGATCGTGCCCAAGAGCGCCTAGCCACTGCCTTGCAAAAATTGGAGGAAGCGGAAAAAGCTGCTGACGAGAGTGAGAGGTGTGTGGGAATACAGATCTTATTTTTATTTTATTTTTTAAGAGGAATGAGAAGTGAATTTCAATTTAATTTAATTTATTTTTTTGTTGTTATTGCAGTTTTTGGCCAGAGCTGGGCTCAAACCCGCCACACTCTGTGTATGAGGCTGGCACCCTATTCCTTGAGCCACAGGTGCCTCCCTTAGAGTACAGAGTTTAAAAGAAGCTCTGATCATCTTGGTGCCCACAGTCCAATGGTTAGGGTACAGGCCACATGCACTGTGGCTGGTGAATTCAAACCCTGCCCCAGGTCTGCTAAAACAAAAAATAGCCAGGTGTGTTGGTGGGCACCTGTAGTCCCAGGTATTTGGGAGGCTGAGGCAAGAGAATCACTTGAGCCCAACAATTTGAGGTTGCTGTGAGCTGTGATACCACAGCACTCTACCTACCATGGGTAACATAATAAGATTCTGTCTCAGGCTTGGTGCCTGTGGCTCAAGTGGCTAAGGCACCAGCCACATACACCTAAGGTGGCGGGTTCGAATCCAGCCCGGGCCCGCCAAACA